CCCCAAAACCCCAAAACCCCAAAACCCCAAAACCCCTACATTTATAAAAAGGACTGAAATAACTATATATAAGATTATTTTCAGAAATGGATAAGGAAGAAGACAAATCGAACCCTTCTACTGATTTAAGGAATGAGAATACAACGAAAGAGGCCATGAACAACAACAATGCGAACTTCATGGGAAATGTCTATGGCGATAAGTGGGACAAGTAAGATGCTAGCTTGTGATTGTTGCTTTATGAAAACTTTGCAGTTATGTCCTATTTGTATAACTTTGATATGTTAAAATGATTGCTCTTGCCTTCCTTTAGTCTCCCTTTGCTGGTCAACAGATGAAAACCAGGAGATAATCATTTATTAAGATCTTTTTGAACTTGCCTAATATTACTCTAGTGACAGTAAAGAGAACAGCCTAATAGATGAAGCTAATAATTCAGGAAATTCATGGGAGCATGCAGATGGTAAATCAGAGATTGACAAGCTCTCTGCCTTTAATGAATATCCTGGAGGTACTCTCCAAGAGAAATTTAAGTAAGCGTGTTTTCTTGTTAACACTTATCAAAAATATTCGAACTTTAACTAGAGAAATATAATATCGTATTGCCACCTTTTGCAGGGAAATATTCTGACCCCACTTATAGGGATGTCGAAGAAGTGAAGAACGATTTTAGTAATGGTCAATTGGACACAGCTGATAGTCCTAGCAATAGAAAATCTAAGCAAGAAGGTGAGCTTCGTTTATTTTTGAGTCCATGAATCACCCAGAAATTTTCATGATCGTATTTATTTTTAGCAGATTTTCTAACTTAATTTAGTACTCAAAAAGGCCATCAATGAATGCATTGAAAAGGAATACTTGAAGGGCCTAGCTGAGATGATCAGAACAGAAAGCAATAATATAATGCTGCCAAAATCTGAGTATCTGAGAATTTACCAACTGGATGAATCCCTCCTTCATCTTTGATATGCGAAATCTCTGAGAATCGATAGACCGAAAATGTCTGTGTTCAGAACAATCCTCACTTACTCAGATTTGGAATCAAAGACGGTTAAGATAAACGATGACACTATTCTCAATCATGACGATATTATCGATGTGATGCTTGAGAGCAACCAAGTCGATAATGAAGTTCTGAATTACATCAGAAAAATACGAAAGAAATGGGATTTAGAAAATATTGTATCTTTATGTATTATGAAACAACGCTATACACTAACCCACTCAGTTTTAAAAGAGTGCAAGCTTCCTTTCAAAGCTATCTATGCAAAGATCGGTATAGAATTTGATGCTATTGATATTGTGTACCTTTTAAGATGCATGTATCCAGAGTCTTCCATTAAGATGGAGAAGAGTTACTTGCCATCTCTGCTTTTATCTTTTCAGAGAAGTAACACTTTCTGGCTTGCAAAGCTTTCAATGCTGAAATCTCTGGTAGACCATACCAATTATATTAAAGCTGAATCCTTTTTGTTATACACTTTGAGGTCTCTAGAGAAAGATGATGTTACTCAAAATCCAATGTATTATGCTCCCAATGTGCTCTTGTTCACTTGCAATCTTATCGAAGTTTGCAGGATCCTTGTCAGTAAATATAATTTTCTGGGGGCTTACACCGAAAAAATTGAAAGTATCCTTATTAAGTCCACTGCATCCTTCATCGAAGATATTGAAGATGAATTTCAGTTAAGGGAGCTCGTCTTTGAGAAGGACTACGAAAACCGAGACTCGCTGGATCTCCTTTCAAAGCACAACATCGTTGACATCATGAACAACAAGAACATGGAGAAGATTGCTCTTGAGCTGTGGACTTCACAATATGATGTAAAAGGGAGTTTATTCACTACTTCATCAGCTTTAAAGATAGTGGCTTATGACAGTTTCAATAAGCCAAGAGACATTTTAAAAGATTTCTTCTGTTTTAATTGGGAATACAGAACAATGGACAACTTCGATCATCATTTGTACCAATTCGAAGTTTGGAAAACCTCCATGATGGCTAAATTTATTACTGAAGGACTTTTCTTGGCAATTCTGACAATAATTTTCCAATATTATTTAATGGAAGCTACTCAGGCTGCTACTGCAGTACAAAGTACCTTCTCTTCGTATTCCGGTGAAAGCGATCCTACGACTATGCAAACAAAATTTGAGACTTTTGAATCCCAATCAGTGGTATACTATAACAACATGCAAATTACAATTTATCTCGGATATATAGCTCTGACTTTCCCAATTCGTATTTTACTGACCATGGCTTTTGCGAAGAAATCAAAGAGGTATTTTGAGTTTTTCAGCGTTGCAAATATCCTCGATATTTGAATCTTCAGTGTGTTCATCATCAGACTTTACTTGGAATTCAAATATTATACTGATGGGCTCAACAATGCGAGAGATAGCGATGAAAGAGGAAGAATGTACTACGATAACGTGTTCAGAGATACTGGCTTCTCTGATTATTTGGATTACCTTTACTCACTCGCATCTGCTTGACTCTGGTTAAGAATTATTCTCCTTTTTAGACTGACCAGATTCCTTGGACCGTTGGTGAAGATGATTCAAAACATGATGCAAGATATTGGAATCTTCATGGTCCTCTTTATCACTCAGTTAATTGTTTTCGCATGTATAGGAAACCTCCTCTTCTCTGATGTCACAAATTATGAAGATTTTTATGAAGCATGTAAGACACTATTTGATGCAACAATGGGATCTTACGAATTTTCTGCATTTGATTCAAGCTCTAAGTATAACAAGATAGGCCATGGCTATATCGTGATATATGTGATTTTAAACAATATTCTCTTGCTTAACCTGCTTATCGCCATCCTGTCAAGCACTTATGCATTGCTTGAGGAGAAGAAGTTAGTTCTATATATCAATGAAATTCTGAAGTTAAGATCATCTTCAGAGTATGACAAGAGGTGTTCAGCTTTAGTATCAACCTTTCCTCCTTGGAACCTATTTGCTTTATTCTTCACTCCAGCTATTATGTTCCAAAAGAATCCCAAGTTCCTGAATTTGGTATTGTTCCATGTTGAGTACTTACCCATCCTGGTCCTTCTTTTTGTTGTTTACCTCATTGGTAATGCAATCTTCATTCCTTTGGCTTACTTAAAGGGGATCTATGTGAACTTGCAGCAGAGCTGGAGTAACAAAGTAGAAGGAGCTCTTGCCTACAGATGGCTAAGATTATTTGTCTGGATCTTCTTTGGCATTTTCATTCTGTTTCTAAACTTAATAGCAGACTGTATTGTCTTCTTCATGCATCTGTACCAGAATAAGATGAATTATAGAAAGGAGCAACAGAAGACTAAGGCAATTTCAGTCGACACTTATAATAAGATTAAAGAAGCTTTCTATGTCGAGCATAAAAATGGAAGGAAAAAGGTTTGTTATGACAAGGTAATATTACCCATGAGAGAAGAGATGAAGGTCATTGAGAACATTCAAGTCTCAATCTTTGGCAATTCTCCTCTAATAGAGACTGAAGTCAGTCAGGATGAGGCAATGGGTCAGCTTAAGGAATTTGTATTAGTTAAAAGAGTGCTACATGCATGCTGCATACCTGGTGATGACGATATTTTCATTTATCCAGAAATCATGAAATCAATTCTCCACGAGATGAAGATGTCAAAGACCCTATTTGACCTTGTTAAAGTTTGGGAAGAGAACCAGAGTGTTAATAAAAGTATCAAAGTTCACGACCATGTTGAAAAAGTTGGCCAAAATGATGCCAAAAATAGACCCTATTTAAGCAAATTTGTAAGTGACAGTTACATTTATCTATTTAGTATCATATCAACCTCATAAGTCTCTTCGAAGCAGTTGAAGCATCAAAAGACAAGAATGCTCTTACAGACATGGCATCCATTTTCAGGTACCTTTCCCATTTTATACTGATTTAGAGGAGTAAAGGAAATAGTTGATAATGCAAAGAAAGACATCATCAGAAATCTGAAACCAGACAACTCTGATTCTCTTAAAAGGTAACTGGTTGAACTCTTATCCATTCAATTATTGTTCTTTTGCTATCATGGCTAACATGAGTCATCTAGAATTGATTCGATCATGAGAGAGACCAGGACAGTTTCAAAGCCAATGAATTTTGGAAGAAGAACTTAAAGACCCATAATTTTTGATAGTCTTACAAGTTGTTTATTAAGAATGCTTCTGGGGTTTCTCTTTCACTAGACCATGACTTCCATCTTCCTTTTCCAAATTTGGAAGTTTTCTAACCGCCATTTACTGCTACTTTTGGAAGATTCACAGTTTCAGTCTATATTCTATGTATCGGGGTTTTGGGGTTTTGGGGTTTTGGGGTTTTGGGG